TACCATATTCCCATCTTTCAAAGACTTCCTATTCTCTGGGCACATCTACAAATTCATTAATGTGCCTTAGATACTGCACATTTAGTTTAGTACTTCCTTAATAAAGTACTAACTAAATGTACAGCACCTCAAGTTACTGCGCAATAGCACTGGCTCACGGCTATTTAGTGACACTTACTGCACATTCGCCTAATAACACCCCGCAGTAAGCTATTAGCATGGTTTTTGCTGTGACACTCTACTGCACAGTGTTATTAGGCTAATGCACAGTAAGCATCTTGTATAGACATGCCCTCTTTGTCCTATACCTCAAAGGGTCTTCAGTCCCAACAACAGGCTAACTTCTTGTCCACAGAACCAAGGGTGCTGACAGAAGTGCAGCTCCCCAGTGTAACTGAGAACGCTTTGCAGGAAGCGTTTTGAGTTACAACAGTCCCCTGGACCAAACAGAAGTTCACTGTTGGTTCCAGCGGGGAGGGAAATCTAGCTACTGGCTGAGAGCCTGTAGCTGGTTTCCCCTAGCAATAACCCCTGCTCCCTCCTAGCCCAAACTGTTTTCAGAATGGGAGGGGGAGAAAGGGAGCACAGAGAGCTTATTCTAGGGGTTCTTCAGCCAGTGCTGGAGGGTGGGGTGAATGAATTGTAGCTCCCCCACCTCAGGGGGATGTCCAGTACACCTGCCCACCCTCCAGAGGGGGTTGAAACCCCCCCAGATCAAACTCCCTCCACTCCCTTTCCCCCTTCCTATTCTGAAAACAGTGACAGTCTGGGAGGCAGCTCAGACACAAGTTACAGAAGATGCTATGTTTTGAAATGTCTTCATCTGAGCCCTTATGCAATGGCAATTCAGATCAAAACAATATAGATATATAGATATATAGATATAGAGAGAGAGAGAGATCTGTATCTATATATATATTAGTGGTCTTTTGTTCTAATTGTGGAAGAACATGGATTTTGGGGTATTATAAAGAGTGAATTTGTGATTTTTCTATCAGAGATGTTGCAGTTTTTAAATAGGGAACGCTAGAATACCTGCTAGTCAGGCAGGTAGAAGGACCCAGGCAGATGAGCCTGCTCAGGGCTGGCACCTGGGACCCAACTGGAGATGGCTGACCTCCTGGCCACTTGGGGCCAGGAGGACATGCTTTGACAGTTCAAAGCAGGCCACCACACTGAGAACATCTGGGCAATAGCTGCCCAGATGGCAGGGTGGTGGCACACATGGCAGCAGTGCCGCACAAAGGCCAACTGTGCAGCCACAGCCCACTGGCAACTGGCCCAGAGGTGCAGATGCCTCTGCTGCAGCCACGCAGTCCCCATCCAGGTCTGGCAGGAGCGAAGCCTTGGAGCCACATGCTTTTGTATGTGGTAGCAGGTCATAGCCAGGCAGCAGCCCCCACTGCCAGACTGCTGCAGTGGGTAGAGGGTGCAGGAAACTCTCAGTTAAGGCTGCTTCAGCAGTCCAGCTGGCACAAGGAGCTAGTGTCCCTAGATACCAATACACACACACACACACACACACACACACACAGAAAGAGATCAATTGGATGATGCTTTATTGCTATATTTACAATGTTAAGCAGTTTGGAAGCCTACCAGTGTCTCTATCATCGTAATAAAATAAGTTCTAAATATCTATGTTTTGAAGTTTGCTTTTGGTTTTTTTTATCATAGAACAATTAGAGCTCCCCTGACCCCTTCTGATATTCCCTATTTGAAAACTGAAAAACCCCTGATAAAAAAATCCCAAAGTCACTCTGTAAAATACCCCCAAATCCATGTTCTTCCACAATTAAAACAAAAGACCACTCTACATATATATATAGAGAGAGAGAGAGAGAGACAGAGACAGAGAGAGAGACAGAGAGAGCAAGAGACAGAGATCAGTTGGGCAATGTTTTATTGATATATCTACAGTGTTAAAGAAATATGGAAGCCTATCAGCATCTCTATCATCATAATAAAATTAATTCTAAATACCTATATGTTTTCCTGTTTGCCTTTGGTTTTCTTACCATAGAGCACTTAGAGCTCTACCTGACATCTTCACTAACCAGGATGTGGGGACAGGTGCCCCTGCAGCCACAGCTTCTGCCAGCAGGTCTCAATTTGTCTGGCAGCTGGGCATGCTGGGTGTGTGATGGGGGGATGCGGGGTTTGCAAGTGCAGGGTGGAAAAGGGTGTGGAGAGATGCAGGTGGGTGTGTGCGGGAGGGGGCGTGGGGACTGTGGGGGACTGTGGGTGTGGGGGGACTGTGGGGAGTGCTGCTTAGGAGGGGTGGGTCCCCTGCCCCCCCACAGGGTGCAGCCCCCCTGCACAGCATATGGACTGCCCCCCCCGAAAGTGCCCTGATGCGCCCCTCCACAGCAACAGCAGCCATTGAGGCACTTGGGGCCCTCCAGGCAAAGCCCCACCACAGCCTGGGGCAATGCAGCTCGGCCCCAGCCACCTGGCACCCAGCACTGCCTGTGCCAAATCACATGGGCCCGGCCCAGCTCAGCACAGAGCTGTGTGCCTTTAGGCAGCTCTAGGCCGCTTGGGCTATCACCCAGGGCCCCATGCCACTTGCGGGGACCACGTGTTGTGCCAGGCTGGGTCTTGTATGCATGAACCCAGTGCACCATCAGGCCAGGTCAGTTCCATGCACACGGGACCTAGCTGGGCACGACAGGAGGTTCCCGTGAGCAGTGCAGGGCCCCGGTTATCAGCCCAAGTGGGCCAGAGCTGCCCAAAGGTGCATGGCCCTGTGCTGACCTTCCCCGGGCCCCTGCAATATAGGCACAGGCAGCACTGGATGCCAGGTGGCTGTGGCCAAGCCACTCTGCCCTGTGCTGCAGGGGGGCTTTACCAGGAGGGCCCCAAGCACCCCAATGGCTGCTGCTGCTGTGGGGGGGGTGCTGTGGGCTGTGCAGGGGGGCAGGCAGGGGACCCACCCCTCCTGAGCAGCCTCCCACCTACACCCACAGTCCCCTGCACCCCCATAGCTCCCCCCCGCTTCAGTCCCCCCTACTGCCAGTCCCTTACTTAACTCAGATGGCGCCGGGATCCATGCAGCCTGCACTGCACCAGGCTGCCCCACACGTGGAGGCAGCGTGCTTCAGCACCAAGGCAAAGGGCAGCCATAGAAATGCTCTGGTCAGGTACCAGAGCATCTTTTAGGAGGACCCCAGCCTCCAGTTGCCTCAGTGTTCCTGAACAGGGCTCAAGATAAGTCTCCTAATGGGATCTTAGATGGGCATCAGATGGACACCAGCCCACCAACTGTCGACACTGACTTGGTGCCGAGTCACTTGGATAGACTGGATGTGTTCAAGTCAGCAGGCCCAGATGAGCTACATCCGAGAGTACTGAAGGAATTGGCCGGTGTCACAGCAGAACCACTGGCACAGCTGTTTGAGCACTTGTGGTGCTCGGGTCAGGTTCCGGAGGAGTGGAAAGGGGCCAGTGTGGTCCCTATTTTCAAGAAGGGGAGGAAGGAGGATCTGAGTAATTATAGGCCAGCCAGTCTCGCCTCCATCCTTGGAAAAGTCTTTGAAAAGATTATGAAGGATCATATTTGTGCGAGTCCAGTGGGAAAAATCATGCAGCAGGGAAACCCGCATGGATTTGCAGAAGGTAGATCATGCCTGACCAATCTTGTTTCGTTTTATGACATGGTCACAAAATGCTTAGACACAGGAGTAGAGGTGGATGTCGTTTTCTTGGACTTTAGCAAGGTCTTCGATACGGTATCTCATCCTATTCTCATAAATAAATTAAGAGGCTGTGACATAGATGTTTACACAGTCCAGTGGGTGGCAAATTGGCTTAGCAGTTGCACCCAGAGAGTGGTAGTAGATGGGTTGGTATCGACCTGGAAGGACGTGGGTCCTGCAGGGTTCAGTCCTTGGGCCTGTACTCTTCAATATCTTCATCAGTGACTTGGATGTGGGTGTAAAGTGAACTCTGTCCAAGTTTGCGGACGATACTAAATTGTGGGGTGAAGTGCACACTCTGGAGGGTAGAGAACAATTGCAGGCAGACCTGGACAGGTTAGAAAAGTGGGCAGTACACAATAGGATGCAGTGCAACAAGGACAAATGCAGAGTGCAGCACACCTACTGGCTGGGAAGTGACCCTCTCAGCAGCACAGAAGCGGAAAGGGATCTCGGAGTCATAGTGGACTCCAAGACGAACATGAGTTGTCAGTGTGATGAAATCATCAGCAAAGCTAACTGCACTTTATCATGCATCAGCAGATGTATGACAAATAGATTCACGGAGGTGACACTTCCCCTCTATGCAGCATTGGTCAGACCGCAGTTGGAGTACTGAGTCCAGTTTTGGGTGCCGTACTTCCAGAAGGATGTTGATAGACTCAAGAGAGTCCAGAGGAGGGCCACTCGTATGGTCAGGGGCTTACACGACAAGCCCTATGAGGAGAGACTGAGGGACCTGGACCTCTTCAGCCTCTGGAAG